CTCATACGGCAAAAAAGTCTATTAACTGGCAGTTTACTTCTCACTTCAAACTACCATCACCTCATTCTATGCCATATTCGACTATTTTCACAGTACTCACCTCACCTTTGTTCTAACTTTGTGTTTGTCTCTTTTTCATCTTTGAAACACTCTTCTGTTCACCCTCCCCTCTCGACTTTTTTTCGATTTGATGTTCCTCTCCCTCTGTGAAGCCTGAAGTCAACTAAAGGGCTAATGATAACCATCAAGACGCCTGCCATTTGATATAAATAAATAAATTATTTCAAGCACACACCTCTCCTTACCAAATGCTATCGCCATTACAATGCTCTTTATACTTCTTTCAAAACGCATGTAGACTTACACTGAGATTTTGTTCGTTGAGAGCAGAAATGCGTGGGATTGGAAGGAGGCCGTTGGGAGAGTTCAATTTTATGCTAGCGTGATTCTGATATTGTGAGTCCTCAGACGTTGAGTGCTCACTTTCTGCAGCAGTTGGGGTTCCAGGGGTCACTGAAATTATTGAGAAAAACTTCATTTTATTACTCCCCAAAAAACGCTAATAGAAGTTGCATTGAGAGAAATCATCGTTGGTCTCAAGCTCGCATACGATCATATGGAGGAGGAGAGAAAACAAAGGCACATAATTAAATCGGTTATTTTATTCTCAACTTAATTTCTGGTGATAAAACTCCTCCGTTAATTGATTCAAACTACCCTTTCCATCGTACCACATTGAATATCGCTGTCACTGAAACAATGAGGGGATCTATTCAGGTGCTGGAAATGGTACTACCACTAAGTACCAGAGATTTTTCTGCTCCAAAACGTGCTCAAATATAAGAATTCAGTACACCAGACCTTCACCTCCTTTTCCCCCTGTTTCTTTCAGTGAACAATGACTTACTGTTTTCTATTAAATGAAATTCTATGAGCCTTAATTTTGCTCTATTTGGATTGGTTGCCCATTTCAAATCGTGTTCTCCCCCTCCCCCCCTCCTTTGAGGACATGGGAAACTTAGCTCACATGAATTCAAGTAATGCAAGACATTTGATGATATTATTTCATTATCTTCTACCTCAATAATCGTTCTTTTAAGATTTGTCTCGTATTCCTATGGATAATGGTATGCGAAATAAATTCATATCACACCCAAAAAGCTCTAATTATAGTAATCTGATTGTTTAGTGTGCCTTCAGACTAAACATAGGACTCATAAAGCACACAAAGCTAACATGGCTAGACTGAAGAATTTCATGCACGCTCGAATAATCTGGAACGTGGATCTTTGCTGCCAATAGAATTAGATAGCTAACGCGGTCGGGAGTACAAAGATCTCCCAGTCAAGCAACAATCAATATTCATCGCAGGGTCAACGTGTCTGAAACTGTATTTAATGACTAAGCTCTATGCCAGTCCCATATACTTGAGACAACTAGGACAGTTTTTGGATAAATCTCATACTATGGGATTTCGTCATAAAGATCGTGAATGGCTTAGTCAAGGTTAAGTTGAGTAGAATCCAATACAGACTCTAGTAAGATATACTGGGTCTGAAATAATACAATTGCCACTGAGTAAATTAAAGTAAACCTCACTGGACAGGAATTTCACATTTTCCCCTTATCTTATTAATTGCAATCAGCATTTAGATTGCAAAAATTTTCTCTAGTATCAAAACTTCCGGCGGGTGCATAATTTGCAAAAAAATCAATAATAATTAGCAGATCCTTTGCCCCGAATTACAAATCAATAGCACTTTCCATTGTGCTGTTTTGAGAGCAAGAAATGAAAGTGAATCGATATCCTGAGTGATGCCAACTCAGAGATCAGCTGTTTACTTAGAAGCAATGCTTTAGGAAAGGCGTTCCATATTCCGAGCGTGATTTCTTAAAAGCGCTCAGAGTTATGAACTTTTTATAAGAGAAAAACTATTTTAGAATTTGCTTCAAGTGCAAAATACAAGCACTATTTGAAGATGGCTAAAACTCACTAAATTTACTCTGTAGAGTGCCACTAAAATTCACAGAATGGCTAGTATCAAGGCGCTGTGATTGTCGAGCCATAAATGACTCTGTGAGTGATCTTTCACCCACTCCAGAGAGTTGATTCAACGCAGCATTGTGACCATTGGTTGTTGTATTCGTGGGTGCACCGCTGTCATATCCACTGCTCCCCGCTGTAGAGCGAGAAGCTTCAGCTGATTCATTGCTGATGTTTGTAACACCAAGAGGAGTATCTAATCGACCCAACTCGCGATAAGGCAGAATGAGGGGACCTTGACGGCTAGATGATTTGCTGGGTGAGGGAGAGGAGGAGGCAAACAGATCCTCCATCTTTGGAGGAAGAGGCACTGGTTGATGTATTGAGTAATTTCGGAAATAACGGCGTTTTCCTTCGCGTATCTCTGGCGAATCTAAAATTGAACATTCATACAGCTTTTAAGCTGGTAAATTAGTTTTATTGCCTTATTCTAAAAATAAGACTGTTTTTATCTGGGCAAAATTCTCTTAAATAATAAATATGAAACATTATCAATCTGTGGTGGTTGTTTCTTAATAAAAAAAGCTTTCTAGAGTTAATCTCTTGGTCGATCAACAATTTTTCACTAAATTAGTTTAATTATTGTCTGGAGCTAAAAATATGTCAATATTGCAAACCATTAGAATGTGAACTTGATTGCTTACGACAAATAGTAATTGTTAATTAAATTATTAACCGAATATTTTTATGTAAGTTATCGATTTCTGCTATAGAGCTTTCAAGTTAAGAAATGTCTTCACATATCCCATACAAATGAATGTTGTATTCTTTCAAAAAAACAACTATTAGTTGTTTTCGCCAGTCAGACTTAATTTTGATTAATTCAAGCTGTCAATAGACTCCCTTTTCAATCAGTACGTTAATTAGAGAATATCCATCATTACTTTTGACTGCGTTCCAGAAATTACTAGTTACTACAGTGGCATTGCCCGGTACTGTTTCAGTGCTCCATCCTGTGAGTGTAGGGAGTTGAAAGTAAGCGAAATCAAGTACAAACGAAGTGTATCGCGGTAAATGAAGAAACAAATGTCTGATTGGAATCGGAGTTAGGACAATGTTCAAGAAACTTAAAAGGTTTGGCCTAATTAAATGCCAATGTCAGCCAAACTGTCATTTATTT